CTGCACGGGGAGAACATGGAGACTCCACGCAGAAAGATCCCGGGTGTCCTCGAACCAGCGACCTTCTTGCTGAGAGGCAACAGTGCTAACCACCGAGCCACCTTGTAGCCCTGGTTTTAGATATATTTAATTAATATTTAATTATATTTTAATTAAAAGACAGCTTTACAGCATACATTGTTGAGTGTTGACAGGCAGCGCTGTGTGAGTCCAGATAGAAAGAGATGGCTGCAGCAGAGCCAAAGCAGCTCCTGTTTAAATTCAATTATTTTTATCAGGAATCTGTGTTAAAAAAAAAAAGAAAAAAAAATGTGTGTTCATGTTGCAGATTTCCCTACTCATTTGAATTAGTGCCATATTTTTAAAACCTTAACATGACTTAAATTCATGTGAATATATGATTTAAAGGCGACTCAATCAAATAAACAACATGGATTTTACTGGGGACAGATGCTGCTTTGTTGTAAGATGAGATAAAATTTTATTCGTCCCGAAGGAAATAGTTTTGCCAGATATTGCTCAGAAAAAAACTCGACACAACATAAATGCAGCGCCGGTGCTGTGCCTGAGGAGCTTCAGTCACATTGTTCTGCCTTTTGATGCCACATCATTTGTGTGATGTAATAAAATCGATTATTAAGATGTCGCAGCACAAACTTTTTGTAGATTGAAGAAATGAGCAGCTGTGGGTAAATCTGCCTTTGCTCAGGTTAGCTCTGAAGCTAACTGTAGCTGCCAGTGTTCAGCCACTGCTCTCTCTTCATTTTTATTTGTTTTTACAAAAACCCACATTTCTGCGGCATCACACTGTTTAGACGATGATGGAGAGAATGTTTGGTCAGCGTTTAGGAAATGAATCAAAGTAAATGTAACGTCCTCTGAAGTGAGGGAAACACTGCAGGACAGGTTCAGAATTTACTCCTTGAATCATCTGCCTCCCCCCTGCCTCCTCGTCCTCCTCCTCCTCCCTCTTAGCCGTGACCTGATCAGATGAGATGTGAGGTGATGTCAGCACTTTATCGACCTCGCTGCTGTCGCCTCCTCGTCCCCGGAGAGACGCAGAGAGGATGAGATAAGGACGAGAAACCAGTGACAGATGGAGAGGAAGTGAAGCAAAATCTGTGAGGAGGGGGGAGAAAAGACCAAAAAGACAGAAGAATAGATGCGAGGGAGTGACGGAGAAGCAAGGAGACGAGGAACGATGAATCAAAAGTGTGGGAACCAGGCAGAGAGGAGGCTGGAGAGGACAGTCGGACCGGGTCACGGCATGATAAACACTGTGTGATCCAGAAGTAGGCTTGTAGTTGAATAAACTTCTGTAATCATCTGAAGAAAGCCCGAATTTACTAATCACCCAAAATAAATATCATGTTTACTTATT